AGTCCACGTTTTTTTTCCCCAATGGAATTGGGCTACATTTAAACTGTTGCCATGGTTTGATTTTTCCCTGTGGGTTAAGGGTTTGAAATGTTGCATAAATTACATTTGGCTGAAATGCTTGTATTGAAACATTTTGCATTCTACCTATGATAAAACTGTGCTAGATGTTAAGTTCTGTGAAGGACGGCCACTGGTAGGAAGCTTTTTAGCTGTGTTTATGATAAATATGCATAACAGTGACTGTAAAATATGTGTATTAGGTATGGAAATGACATATTTTGAGTTTTGATATTTGAGAATGCGCTACTTTGGGCACTTTCAGCATTACTTTAACCACCAACCAACCACACCCTAGCCCCCCGCCCCACCTGCAGTCCTCTTTTTGGAAAACTAAAATATGGTCACCCTATTCTATAATATATTGCATAACTCAAACTCACAAAATGTAAAATACAGAATCATATATGAACTAATATATTATTCTTATTTATTGACGTGGCCCAGATCTGGCCCACATACTGTAGAGTGACTTCTATTATTTTATGTGGCCCAGGTCTGGCCCAGACACTTTAAGCCAGATCTGGCTGAGACTGGGCTTGGTCCCCGGGCCAAATGTGGCCCAGAAACTGCTAAATGTAATTCAGCAGTGAAACACAAATACAATCATTTAAAAATATTAAAAAGGCTTTAATTATAAAATTACCAAATACTTTAATATAAATATATATTAACAATTAACAAATGCACTACAGTATAAACATTAACACTTTTTAAACCACAAAGTAAATTATATTTATATATAAAAAAAAAAAATGAACGCAAACCCAAACAAGACCAGGCTCAGTCAGGAAACCAGTTCTCCTCTGGCCAAATGAATGAACGTGGTGTGATTATTCCAGACTGCATCACAAGTCAGATTGTGGATTGATATCACTCGGAATATTTCATCCAACTTCTTCTGCTTGAAGAAACATCATGCCAGCAGGTGAATCTGGTAAAAAGGGTCTGTGCAGAGGGCTTGTCTGGTTACGTAGTCTGTGTAGATCTGTGCTGGGGCCATTAATGAGGTCTTCACAGGGATCGGTTATCTAGTTGACATGGTCTCCGCTGACATTCAGGGATGTATTGTGGTCGTTCCTGGGTGCAGGTCCACCGTCTGGTCTGGATACCAACTGGATCAGCCGATTACAATAACCTAGGGATAAAGGTGAGACAGTATATAAGGGACTAATTTGAGCATTGATGTCATTCTTCTTACAAATTAACAAGTACATTAGATATTATGGGAAGTGTTACCAAGTGTTTCTGCTTACCCTAATTGGTGCAGCATAAAGATCCTTTAAGGGATTTGAATTATAGAAATGTGATCGTGTGTCATGTGTATGGAAGGTTAAAGAGATGGGACTTTTAAACTCACAGAGTGTGTCTGCCTCCCGAAGTCCGCCCTTTTGATCTGCCAGCTGGAGCCACCTCTTCATAGTGTCACGGTTCGAAAGAGGCGAAGACTCAAGTGCAGGCAGATGGGGTGTCTTTATTTATAACTCCCAAAAATAAACAATAAACACAACTGAAACCACCCCGAAGGGGAAAAAGCCAGAGTAACATAAAAGCTCACCACGAGACATAAACTGAGCACAGGGCAGCCACAAATCAAAGGCATGATCCGACACCTAAGTGAAATTCTAGCAAACAAAATGGCATTTAACTAATTTAATTAGCTAACATTGGATACAGCTCTTCAGTTTTTTATATAAAAAAATGACAATTGTTATTCTCTACTCATCAACACTCAATATATGCGGGACCATGCGGGATGTTATCATCGCAAACCTCCTAATACAAACCATCTAAAAACTATACTCTTCGTGACATTTAAAACATCAAACAACACTAGATTGAGCATTAAATAAATTAAATAACTTACCCTTTTGCAGCTGAAGTATCCTCTTGAGAACTGTGCCCGCCGAAAGCTCCTCAGTCAGGATTAACCGCCAAATCCTTCTCTCAGGCGGCTGAGTTCCTGCATTCTAGCAGCCGAAGGTAAATACACACAACTACACCGAGTGCGGACCTGTCGCGCGTGCAGCAGCTTTCAGCCGAGATCGGCCCATAGCGAAAAAGCCGTCTGTCAGCCAGAACTGTTTTGTAGAGTCGGCACGGCTCTGGCCCATTATCTTCTCACCGATGCCGAGACTGAGCCGACAGTGCCGCATTTCAGCCGGAATCGGCCCGAGTGTGCTTGCTATCTGGGGAGCTTGTAGAAGAGTTCAATGAAACTCCAGAACAAGTGCATGTCTTGTATCTATGGCAGCAAAAGTTTCAGAGGCTGCTGCAGTCTATATGCAAGAATGTGTCAAACTAAGCCTGCAAGCAATAAAAAGTGTTAACATTTTTTTGCTTTGCACTTCATGCTGACACTTCATGTATTACAAGGCGGTCATTTCTCATATGCCAAGTCGAAGGGCGTTCCAATTAGAACAATCTTTTCTTTAAAAATCTTTGCTCTATGGGCTTTGACACTTTATGCATTAATGAACCCACTTGTGATTGATAGAGGCATGGAATGCAGTTGATATGATCATTATCTGTGCCTGACTGGAATATGACAGTCCCCACTTCTCTTCAAACTTGGCATATTCACAGCAGTCATAAACAGTTTCCACATGAGTGAAAGCAGCCCCAGCAACAAGACAGCACCCGTAATAGAGAGAGCACCATGACAGCAGGACCCTTAGGACAAAAAATAGACCAGAAATGGCAGGTTGGGATGTATATAGCGGTTCATAAGACGGTTGTATATGACAATGAGGGATTATGAGCATCTCTGAATAATATCTGACAACTTCATGTCACACCACCAGCTTCTCTCTCACCCACTTCCTTCCTCTCATCTGATTATTTTACAGTGTAGGGAAAGGATTATCACTAAAACATTTAGGGTATCTTTATTTACTTCCTCTTTATTATAAAGTTAATTTGTGTAATATGTAAGTGACGTTTTATGTTCTAAAACATGTCTGTTTTTTGTTTTGTTTTGTTTTGTTTTGCTCTTTCTCAACTTTCTCAAATGCATAAAACTTCGATAGCCTAAAAAGTAAAGGCCTGTAGGATTATTGCACCAAAAAAAAATAAATAAATACTTGCTCAGCAATTGATCCTCTGCAGTGAATGGGTGCCGTCAGAATGAGAGTCCAAACAGCTGATAAAAACATCCCAATAATCCACAAGTAATCCACACCACTCCAGTCCATAATTAATGTTACAGTTAATGTCTTGTGCAACGAAAAGCTGAATGTTTGTAAGAAACAAATTCATCATTAAGGGATTTAATTTTCAACCATCACTTCTGGTCAAAATTCGAATCCATAATACATAATAATGCTTCCTCCAGTGAAAATGTCCAGCTACAGTTGTGACTCTCACATCAAAATCCACAGACATTGTTTAGAACTGTTCTGGACTGTTTTCGCCTGTAAACAGTGCTTGATTTGTGCATATCTCTTTCCTGATTCAGATGACACAACTTTTTCACTGAAGAAATCAATATTTGAGAGGACTCATATTTTATTTGTTGGAGTATTTGTTTCTTATAAACATGCACCCGGTTGAAAAAAACAGCATATGGTGGTTAGGTATGTTTTGAAGCATGGTTGCTGGTTTGAGCTGGTTTTAGCTGGACATGTGCTGGTCCTAAGCAACTAGCTCCTGCTCAGGACCAGCTCATAACCAGCTAACCAGCTCAGGACCAGCTTAAACCAGCTCATGACCAACTAAGGACCAGCTTAAACCAGCTAAAAAAGCTGGTGCGCTTCAAAACATACCTAACCAGCATATACTGTTTGTTTTTTTTCAACAGGGCAGCCTTTTAACTTCACAAGACATTAACTGGTGGACTGGAGTCTTGTGGATTATTATGTTTTTATGTGATGTTTTGAACTCTCGTTCTGATGACACCCATTCACTGCAGAGGATTCATTGGTGTTTTGACATCCAGTTATGACCAAACTCTCAAATAGCACACTTGAATAAACTTCTTTTTCGTAAGGGACGTCATCAGTTGCTATTTTCATGTTGCTCAAAATGTATTATATAGTCTTACCCTTCAAAACATCAAGACATTAGCTCATCATATAAGTCATTAAATGCAAAATGGTTGATCTAGTTGTCATAAACTGTCAAACATATTTTCTACACATTCATAAATTTGCCATGAATTGTGCAGTTGAATCTTGACTTTCACTAATGAAGAATGTAGATCAACCAATCATAAACCAGTTCCTTGAAATTCCTCATACGGTGCATAAAGTTCTGCCTAAGGGGTGTTTCCTGTGTTTGCCTTTCTAATTTTGTATTTTTGCCTTTGTGCCCATATTTCTTTTTATTTTCTATATCACGACGTTGTAATGTGTTTTTTTTTTTGTCAGACCTCTAGAAAAAGTATAACTGTGAATCCTATCCAGTCTCTTTCAATCAATATCCCACATACAGTAATGTGTAAATTTGTACTTTTGAAATGGATATATGGCATACAGTTTCAGTACAGTAACTATCATCCAAACTGTTGCCATAGTTTACATCAGGTAATACTAACAGAGTGCACTGTTACCGTATATTGACAACATGACTAAGCATTTTGACTATCTTGTTTGTGAACAAGGACACAAGGACTTTTCGTTCTGATGGCACTGATCATTGACATAAATACTTACTTTTGAGAGATGAACTAAAGATTTTAAGTAAGTTACAGGCTTTTGCAGATAATCTATTGTGTGGTGCTGTTTGTACGAATTGTTTTGAGAAATGCACATACTTCTTTGCAAATATTAATGATTCGAGAAATGCACCAAAGAAATGAGAAAAACTGTATCTATCCTGAATGTTGATCAAAATCATTTCACATAGGACCTCTGTGATCTATGAATCATTTTGAGATTAAAGTGGTTAGACTGTGCATTTTGAACAGTTTGAGAGGAAGTAAGACTAATATAAAAAATGCTGATAACACTTAACAGGATGTGGTTGGTTTAGCACCTCACAAATAGTCTGGATGTGAGTCTTACCGCTTCCCACTTAGCCCTGGCTTTCTCCTCCTCAAACTTGGCAAATTCACGATGGTCATGAATGGTGATCAGAAGCTTCCACACCAAGAGCGCACCCAGTCCCAGCAGCAGGATCGCACCGGTGACCGAAAGAACAACCACCAAGACATCAGGACCCCTAGGACACTCTGAACATAAATCAGCAATGACAAAAGATTCATTCTTAAAGAAAAGTTCATATTCTACATTCAGTTTCCATTTGAATGGATCTCTTCAGTATCTAGTAACTGTAACAGAAGTACAGCCAGTATCTACCCGTCTCTCACACAGACACAGAGAGTTTATCAGCATGAGCCATGTTTGACAGCTACATGTCACACGTTGTCTCTCTCTGCCTCACATCTCTCCTCTCACCTGGTTCTTTAACAAGATAGAGGAAGGATTTTCCACTGGCGTCTTCATAATACTGGAAGTTCTGAACGCAGTCGTCCTCATCCTTGTAGCTGCAGTTCACTGAGTTCTTCTCATGAAAGACTGGAGAGAACAGATGAAAATTAACTCAGCTAGAACAACAACTGATCAAAATATGCTGCATGAAGAACTATAGTCACAGTGTATATTCATAAATGAACCTTTGGTAAATAATGGATTCGATTTAAGATGTGTCTGTGGCCTGGAGATGTATTATTCTGCATTTAGAAGATGTACAGATTGTGTAGTTTAGAAATATACACTTCCATTCAAAAGTGTGGGGTTGGATTTATGTTTTATGCAAAGATTTATGTAAAAAAAAACAAAAAAAAAACTTTAGTCAGCAAGGATACATTAAATTGATAAATAGTGACAGTAAAGTCATTTTTAATGTTACAAAAGATTCTATTTCAAGTACATGCTGTTCTTTTAAACTTTCTACTCATCAAATAATCCTTTAAACATTTCATCACAACATGTTTTCAGCGATAATAAAAAAAATCATAATATTAGAATGATTTCTGAAGGATCATGTGACACTCAAGACTGGAGTAATGATGCTGAAGATTCGGCTTTGCCACCACAGGAATAAATAAGTAAGAATAAATAAGTTTACAGCATTACTGTTTTTACTGTATTTTTGATCAAATAAATGCAGCCTTGGTGAGCATAGGAGATATCTTTTAAAAACATAAAAAATTAGCACCCCAAAAGTTTAAATGGTACTGTATACCCTAAAAAGGCTTTATATAGGCTACTGCAGATGGGAGATATGTATTATGGATTGGTCAGAGGTAGAGATTACCCAGCTCATCCACCAGCACAATCTCATCTCTGCAGACGTGATTGCAGTTCTTTTCATACAGATCTCCTCTCTTATAATGTTTACACTCCACACACTCCCTGCAGAAACACACATAAATCCACTTTAAACAGTTAAGATGAAAAAGCACCTAAACATACTTATTCTCTCTCACTGTAGATAGATAGATAGATAGACAGACACAGACAGATAGACAGATAGATAGATAGATAGATATATAGATAGATTATCAGGTTCTACAGTTCTTTTAATATCTGAATATTCAGATGGCCAACACACACTCACTTTTTAATGGTGCAGGCGTCTGGGCAGGTGGGACACTTCTCACAGGTTGATCCATACGCTCCTGGCTGTGTGCACTCACAGACGCCACACACACAGTGGCCACGGCCACTACACAGCATTCCTCCGCTCCCCATGCAGGCGTCTGTGCGGGTCGAACAGTTACAGCTCTCGCCGGACCATCCGGGGCTACAGTGACAGGTGCCACAGTTGCACTCACCATTACCTGACGGAGACATCAAACAAATATATAGCTGTTAATGACCTATGGGAAAATATGGTGATCATGAAGTTCAGCCAAAATTAGCATTTAAAATATTTCATAGAAGGAGGAACTTTTGAAGAACTACCCAAGAACTTTATTTTCTTGATTTTACTTCATTTTGTTTTTATATGTTTATTGTATGTCTGCAGCAACATGTAGTCCATAACAATTTTCCTCTTGAGGACAATAAAGTATACTACTACTACTACCACACAGCTCTTGCAATGCAGCTGTTTATAATTACTACAGATACAAAACTTCTATATCCCACAACTTCTCCATTCATACAATAGCTTTGTGTGACCAGAATTGAAGTTCATTGTTAATCTTTGCAAATATGCATCATGGAAAAATAAATTTGAGAGCTGCCAGCCAGAGGAGGAAAAGATTTGGCACAAAATGAAGGCGAGTAAACATTCGTAAAATCTTCAGCAAAGCTGAATTTTTAGCAGTCATTACTGTCTTCAGTATCACATGATCCTTGTTGAAAACAGTTATGCTGCTTAATATTTTTGTGGAAAATATGACATGTTTTTATTATTCTCTGATGTATATAATGTTCAAAAAACAGCATTTATTTGAAATATTAAAATTTTTGCAATATAATAAATGTTTTTACTGTTACTTGTTGTCAATTTAATGCATCCATCCATGCTAATTAAAAGTATTTGTTTCTTTAAAAAATCTTACTGACCCAAAATGTTTCAACAGTAGTGAATGAAAATACATACTTTACAATTTAAATGTGTCAATTCTGATGAATTATGAAAAACAAATGATGAAATACAACATGGTGTTACGTAATGCTCACTTAATGTTTGTTACTAAAGCAACAAAGAATTCAACTTAAACATCAACATTTCCCAAGCCAACACATTCATTTCAACACAGAGAATACAGCATATAACCAGAAGATTTCAGACTGGTTTATCTACTTGTGTGTGTGTGTGTGTGTGTGTGTGTGTGTTTGTTTTACTGTGTGTATGTTTTATGTTATTTATATCCAGGGGCTATACTTGCTGACTCTGATTCTTCTTGTAGTTTAAACACCCACCCACCAACTCTAAGATAATAAGATATTGTGTAAGAAAACAATTTTCACAAGGCAGTTAAACAGCAATGCCTATCCCACATACTACTGAAATCTCACTTTTCAAACTAATATATAATTTTACGCATTCGACTTGCTGTTTAACTGAAGAGAGAATAAGATGTGAACAACCAGACTCAGGCTTCAGGCTAAGCAGGTAATGCGCACAGACATGTAAAACTGAATATCATCTAATAAATCAAGCGCATCTGAGTCAGACTGCTGTGGATCAAATTGCCTAATAAGGTGAAACACTGTCCATGTTATGAAGCAAGAACAAAAAGCTGTGTGTAATCCTCACAAACACACAACGACACATCTACTGTAGCACTGTTTTTTCTGATACACTGAGTCAAGGCATGTCTAACCTGAGCATATTTGTCCTTTGGAACGGAGGCAGCTGAAGTCATCACATTCACAGTACGGCCCCCAAACCTTCCCAAAATCACTGGAGCGACAGGCACACTGGCCGCACACACAGTCTCCGCGCCCACTACAAACCGGCGCTGCTGGGTTGGGGCTGCATCTGTCTTGTTGGCTGGGTTTATATTCGCCCTCGGAGCACTCACATCGAGCGCCCAGTCGGCCCGGGTCACACAGGCACACACCGCACTCCAGGGTACCGTTCCCGTGGTGACAGGACGGGCTGGTGGGCATGGAGGACTGCTGACAGTCACATTCACAAGCAAAGTCCACAGTCACCTGAAGGGTGTCTTTAAAGCCCATTGGCTTGACCATGAAGGTCCGGCTCTTCTCTTTAGGGCAGCCGTGAAGTTTTGCCTCAATGCTAAATGAAACCTATGGAAGAGTAATATAATGGAAAGAAAAAAGCATAAGGTCATGGGTTTGATTCCCAGAGAATGCATGAACTGATAAAATGTATAGATTGCAATGTACATAGCTTTGAATAAAAGCATCTATAAATGTATCCCCCGTTTAAAAAATAAAGAACATTATTTAATTTTAGCAGGAGTATATTGGTACACAAACGATGTAGTTTCTAACTTTCTACACTGTAAAGTAATATATTTTTCAAAGCTGTAAATAAAGCAAGGATTATTGGAGTATGTCTTACAAGAAAATACAATTTCAGTCTTTCTACTTATAAATTTAATGTTGAAATCAATGCGTTATTTGTCATTCCTTTGTAATAAATTGTGAAATTTAACTGAGTTAAGTATAATTAACAAAGTACATACTTTTCATTGTCCTGTTTTAGTGTTTGCATAAAATTAGTTTTTCTTAATTTAGACACTTTTTATTTAAATTGGATAAAAATGCTCTACTTTTCAGCACAATGTCAATCACAAAATCTTCAACAACACAAACTTTTTTAAATATCCAACATAACTAAACATAAAAGGTCTTTGCTTTTACGCAGAAATGCATAGAAATAACACTTAATTTCAACATTTACTCGCCCATTTCAATCCTATGCAAAGCATGCTTGGATCTAAAATTCACCCATGCAGTTTCATTGCAACAAAAATGATTAGCGCAACAAAAACGATAGTCCCAACACAAATTAATTCAGTCAAATTTTTAAAGTTTTGCATATCTAAATAGACTGAACACAATACAATTGTGATAAAATATTCAGCACTTGTGTTGCTGTAGCTTATTTTAACTGAGTAAACTGAACAATAAGCAAAAATACATTTTTCTAGTATATGCACCAGGTGCTGACCATATCTCCAATTTTGAGTCCAGCGCAGGACTTGACGCCAGTAATGACCTCTCCACCCAGGCATGTTGCGTTGATGAACAGAGATAACTCATCCGGCACACCCAGCAGCTCCAGCTCAACCTTAGACCTGATCTTCTACAAAAACAAATGGCGCAGAGATCAAAGGTCAGCCTCTCTGAATTCTCTCTTTATTTGAGTTTAAGCCCTACTGGATTGAAATGGTCAAATATCTCAAATTAAAAAAGCAAACACAGTCCTCCTAACCAAGTTCTCACAACTCAGAGGCTGTATTAATTCCTGGCAAAGTGACTGACCGCATATGCATCCAGAATGAGTTGCACAACATTTCCAGAGTCTCTAGAGAGCGTTCCGACCACAGAGCCAGGAATCAGCTCGCTGTAGTTCTGTGAGAATACAGGAAACATGACAACACCCCATAAACATATACTGTATGAATGTCTTCATGTTACAGACAGAGACATATTGTACATTTGTGTTTGACAAAAATATAGAAACTCACACGATATAGTTGCACCATAGAACTGGTTACAGCAAAGATGAGGTTGATGTTATTCTCAGATAATTTGTCCGTGATCATACCAAGTGAAGGATAGTCCTACAAATACATTTAAAAATTAATGTATTGCCAAATTAGCCATCTCTCTCTCTCTCTCTCTCTCTCTCTCTGTCTCTCTCTCTTGCTCTGTTTTTTAATGTTTTAAAAGAATGCTCACCAAGGCTGCATTTATGATTAAAAAATATACAGTAAAATATTATTTTGTGAAATATTATTGCAATTTTAATATATTTTAATATGTAAAATGTATTCCTGTGATGGTAAATCTGTCACATGATCCTTCAGAAATAATTATAATATGTTAATTTGCTTCTCCAGAAACATTTCCTATTATTAGCAATGTTGAAAACAAAAGTGCTGCTTAAGAGAGAGAGATTTGCCCAATATATGTTTGGCTGACCAGTATAGTGGACTTGTCATATTCATTGTTGTGGTTGATATGGCACTCTCCATCATGGGGCTGGACTATTCCAGCCAGCCTGGCATCCAAAGCCAAATGACTTCTGTCATCACTTGTGAAGATTAGCAAATGAGATGCATCAGGCCTCCATCCAATTTTGTCCTGGAAGAAAGAGAAAGGAGGTCATACACAAAGGTAAAGAGAACCAACCCAAAAGGCGAATGCTCCCTTTTGAATATCCTAGGGTTACACCGTGTCTACTACACTGGATGCGAGCGGCGCGGCGCAACAAAATACTATAGAACTCATTATAATCAGTGATGCTGTCTACACTGGATGCGGCACGGCGTGACACGACAAATCCCAGACAGAAAACTGCTGCTGCGTTCTATTTATGACGTATTGGCACAAATTTCAAATGATTTTCAAACGGTCGCTTTGTCGCGTCCAGTGTAGACACAGTGTTAATGTTGTATGACGTTTTTTACCCCCCAAAAATAATTGAAATTTAGCTCAAAATTCAGGCTTCAGGCTCTGGGACTATTAACAGAACAGCTTTACTCAGATTGTTTGTGGGTTTCTCTTTGTCTGTGTATTTTGTGTCACCTTGCATACTACTGCTTGCATGATAGCATCAAATCCACCCTCAGGGGCATCTCTGTTTCTGGACACTTTCTGTTTCTTCACTTCCTCTGTGAACCGCTCTACCTGCTCCGTCAGAGACAGTACGTTACGATAGCCGAATTGCGGTGGACAGGGTTCAGGAAACCTACAGCGGTCAGAACACAGCAGGGAGACAGAAATCCCTAAACTTAGTCACTCACTCTGTTTGTCATGTGCTTTTCTAATGTGCAATGAATTAGGGCTTACTTATAACAAGGATTCTGGATGACTTCTTCAGGGTAAATGTACATGTAAGGTGAGAGCGGTTTGTCTACAAAAGCTCCAAATCCCATGCGCAGATTACTGGTGACGCCCCGTAAAGCAGTGGCCAGACCATTGCCCAGTGTATAAAGCTTCTGCAGGTCGTCCTTCATGGTATTGGTCATGTCCATCAGGTAGTACAGGTCCACTGGGTAATCAGCTGCTTGCTTCACAGTGACAGTGAATTTCTTTGAATCGTCTTGAAGAGAAATGGGACAGATGAAAGGGTTAGAATTTTCTAAATTTGAAGACAAAACTCAGCATTTTTATTTCTTTTGGCAGAAATGAACATGGATTTTTTGAGAACAAGATATGTCAGAGAGACCCCAAGGCCCTTTTACTAGCTCAAGAAACACTTAACATTTAAATTTCAGGTTTAAAGCTTCATGAGTTTATAAGCAGATCTTGACATTTGAAACAAGTAATAAGCTGCAAAAAAAAAAGAATTTGAAGAGTAAAATAATATTATATATTTTTATATATATTATATATTAAAGAAAAGAAAAGAAAAGAAAAGAAAAGAAAAGAAAAAGAAAAGGGAATTTTTCCTAAACTGTGATGTGAGAAATATGTTATTGGATTGCACTGGTAAATATAGTTTGTGAAATCTAATGGTTTGTTTTGTTATAATAGCATACCTGGCCTGAGGGTCAGGTGGATTTTTTGTGGTTGGATCTGAGTGATGTCCTCTGAACCCCCTGCCTTGTCACTCAGGGGTATGTCCTCTAGTATCCTCATGCTGCTAACTGGAAACTCAATAAACTTCAAGCCACAACCAGACTGAATGAGACTGTCTCTGAGATCACAACGGGACAAACTCGAGCCTCCCTTTCCAAAGATCTGACAGATACACATACATACATTGATAACAATCAGAGGGAAGCATTTCAAACAGCCATTTGTGCGTCTGTGCAGGAGTGTTTAGTCATATATGTGGATGGAATTTTGTTTTTTACCTCCTGAGAGCACCAGGCGCAGGTCGGATGTATCGACAAACATTCTTCACAGGTACTCACTCCTCTGGAAGTGCAAATGTTAGAGCCTAGAAACAAGACCATCGTTAAATTTCTGTGCAGTCAGGGCCGTATTAACCATTGGGCTAGGCGGGGCTGAAGCCCCGGGGCCCGAGCAAGGACGGGGCCCGTGATTGGCTGTGGGGTAAATTGACTGCCGCGCCGATCGCCAGTCACCACACCCCCCACTTAATTAGCGCTGTTATTTAGTTGAGCTTTTCCGTAAATTCCATACATTACATTTGAGATTGAAGCTTAAAGTCTGAATTTGGTTTACCAATCTAATGCATTTATTCTATATTTGACATTTGAACGACATGTGCAGGTATCTATCAGGTGATCGCTGCCCAGTAGCCTATATTTGCATTCACCTTCACTCTTCACTTCCTTATGAAGTAATCTGGAAATGTTCGTGCAAAGATTCTACAGGTGCATCTCAATAAATTAGAATGTCGTGGAAAAGTTCATTTATTTCAGTAATTCAACTCAAATTGTGAAACTCGTGTATTAAATAAATTCAGTGCACACAGACTGAAGTAGTTTAAGTCTTTGGTTCTTTTAATTGTGATGGTTTTGGCTCACATTTAACAAAAACCCACCAATTCACTATCTCAACAAATTAGAATACTTCATAAGGCCAATCAGCTAATCAACTCAAAACACCTGCAAAGGTTTCCTGAGCCTTCAAAATGGTCTCTCAGTTTGGTTCACTAGGCTACACAATCATGGGGAAGACTGCTGATCTGACAGTTGTCCAGAAGACAATCATTGACAATCTTCACAAGGAGGGTAAGCCACAAACA